CCCCTACACTCCCAATTAATGCTAGCCTTATATTACCTTTGCAGTCTTCTAACCCTCTTCTATCTTCCAGCATTATTTTTGAAACTTGAACACCAGGACAACACAGAGCCCCTCTAGAGTTCACCATGCCCCTACTTCTGCATCACGGGCTGCATGAGGCTTGTTGTTACTTCATAGCACAAGAAATTCATGCTAAGCTGCTTCTCTCTCATAATTCTCCTGGATCCTTTTCAGAATCACTGTTTCCCAGGACAGGCTGTACTTAACCCCCCCATTTCTTACTTCCAGATGTAGAAGCGTACAGAATGTGATACTAAAACACATTTAAATGTATTCTACTTACCAAGTAATCTACCTCACCCTGTATGACTCTCCTCTCAGTATTACTGAACATTTTGCCATTCATTTTGAAACCTACACATTTTCTGAATAGCAAGTTCCTATTGATTGCAAGCTGATGAAAATGCTGATGGGTGTAAGTCTGACTGTCCTTTCCTCTGTGACTTCCTCAGAAATCCCCTCAGGCAGTGTTGATCTACTGCTGATGACTCCTTTGCTTTTTTGAAATGCCAGCCAGTTCTCCGCTCAGGTAGCATACGGCTTCAGGTGTTGCACGAGAAGCAGAAGACAGAAGTGATGGGAGGTGTACCAGGTCAAGTTCGAGGACAATTATGTGAAAAATTGATTTCTTTGGTCTGGTGGCTAACCTAACGTAAAAAATAAATTCTTTTCTCACTTCAAGAAGAAAATGGAAAAAATTAAAAAAGGCAAACCAAAACACCATTCTACGTGGAAACCAAAAAGTATTAGATCAGAAATCAGACACAGTCTGGTCTTAAGACTTTTCCCACTTTCAAAAAAGTTAGCACATTCAGACTATACTTGGCCAACAAACATTGCTTTACACCAGAGCTTGAATAGTTCATTTTGCAAATTTTGTTCTTCTTTAAAAAGACTCAAACTTTCCAAACTTCCCACAGATTTTTGAGTTCAGAACTTCTAAAAAAATTTTTTTTTTTATCCCAGTAAACACTTTCAACCAGTTAAGCCATATATGTAAGCATTTTCTAGGTTTGATACGTGGTAGGTAATGCACAGCAGGGACAAGAAGTTATTCACAGACGGATTAGCAACACATTTGTAAAATAAAGACTGTGGTATGTTTGCAGAGCCATATGGTTTTCAATAAGCTTGTACAGCCCCTTCATATCATATGGGCCACTCTATCCAGTGCTAAGAGCCTCACATACTCACAAACTCAAAATTAGCCAACTCAGACATCAAAATTAAAACACAAAAAGAAAGAGGTTCAAGGGGAAGAAAATAAAGTGTTAAAAAGAACAGGTGTTGCTTATAGCCAGACAGCTATAAACATCTGCAAGCATCAACAGCTCACTGTCTGCAAAGAGAAAGTGACTGCACAGTTCTCAGAACAAGCTGTGAGACTGAGGAAACCAAAGGAGCATCTCCCCAGTGCAGGAGCTGAAGTGGGCTGCTCACCTACAATTTTACCTTCTAAACAACCATTTTTTATTGTGGCTGTCATTTGAACTGTGTTGCAAAGTAGTTCATAAAGTTGTATATTTACCATACAGCATTAAATAATGCATCAGCTAAGAAAGAAGGAGAAACATCAAAGTAGGGAGCAAATAATTTTTCAGCTGAGACTAGTTAACAGCTAGAGACAGAGACCCTGAATCAGGAGACAATATTGCCAGATGTGACAACAGCAATTCTATTGCTAAATGACTGACAGCAATGGGTTGGAGAGATGATGGATGAGTTTTGCTCAGGAAAAATATTGATAAATGATATATGTCAAAGTCTTGTATCTTTAGCTTTGTCTAAAGCGCTCATAAGAGGCCACCTGTCTCGGAGAGAAGGGGAAGTATCTGTCACTCAGAGGTGATGACAGAGCTGCTGTCACCACAATGCAAAGCCAAATTCTGATTGCTACTGGAGATGACAAGAGTTTTGGCATAGAAAGACTGCAACAGGACTGTCCTTACCTTCCTCCAAGTCTTCCCTATCCTAAAAATTGTAGCAGATTAATTTAGTCTGCAGGACTAGTCTGCCCTGCAGATTAGAAAATGCTAAAGCAGACAAAATGACTAAAAGACTGCAAGAGAGAACTTAGACTACCTTATAGTCTTCCTGCCTCTAACAGTATGATTTTTTTATTATTATTTCTAATAAAGACTGTGTTTGTTTCTTAATCATTCTACCCTCTTCTTCTGTTTCTCTTCTAGATGAGCCATGCCTAGGACAATGGGACTCTTCTCCCCTTGGTTCACTAGATGCTAACATAACAATAGCAGTTACTAATTAATAACTAAATTTGTTTATATATGGTACCATATTCTGCAACTTCAACAGAAATAGCAACCTACCCATGTAAAGCTCCACCTAGTTCCCATCTACTACAACTCCCTGAGAAGCATTTTTCCCTATTCCACATTTTAGCTGTATTCTAAAGAGACCATTTCTCAGCTCGATTGAAAAAAAAAAAAAAACAAAAACACAACCTTCTATGTACCATATAGATTCCCATTAAACATAGTACAACTCCTGGCATTTAATACAGATCTTTTTATTTGACATCAATATATTTTTACACCACTTTCAATCTCTCTTCTTCCTTCTCTCTAATGTCCCAGTTCAACCACAGAATCACAGCATGGTAGGGGTTGGGAGGGACCTCTGGAGATCATCTAGTCCAACCCCTCTGCTAAAGCAGGTTTACCTAGATCAGGTTGCACAGGAACAGTTCCAGCCGGGTTTTGAATATCTCCAGGGAAGGAGACTCAACTACTTCCCTGGGCAGCCTGTTCCAATGCTCTGCCACCCTCAGAGTAAAGAAGTTTCTCCTTATGTTCAGGTGGAACTTCCTGTGCTCCCGTTTGTGCCCATTGCCTCTTGTCCTGTCACTGGGCACCAGTGAAAAAAGCCTGGCCCCATCCTCTTAACTCACACCCTTTAGATGTAGTAGCAGATATCAGAATAAGAAATTGTATTCCAACCCATTTACTCTATATTTTCTGCTTTTTACTTGGACACCTTTAGCTAGATGAACCATAAAGTTACTGAACTTGTTGGAAACTATCTGAATAGACAAGGTGTCTGGAAAAAAAGGCATAGAATCACAGAACCATTCAGGTTGGAAAAGACCTTTGAGATCATCAAGTCCAACCACCAACGCTACTCTACCAAGGACATCCATAAACCTTATCTCCAAGCACCACATCTAAACAACCTTTAAACATGTAAGGGAAGGTGTCTCAGCCACCTCCCTGGGCAGCCTATTCCAATGCCTGACAACCCTTTCAGTACAATAATTTTTCCTAATGCCAAGCCTAAACCTACCCTGGTGCAGCTTGAGTCCGTTCCCTCTTGTTCCATCATTAATTACCTGTGAGAAGAGACCAGCACCTGCCTCTCTACAGTGTCCTCTCAGGTAGCTGTAGAGAGCAATAAGGTCTCCCCTCAGCGGCCTTTTCTTGAGAGTAAATAGCCCCAGCTCCCTGAGCCACTCTCCGTGCTCTCTAGGCCTCTCACCAGCTTCATTGCCCTTCTCCGCCCTCTCTCCAGCACCTCGGTGTCTTTCCTGTACCGGGGCGCCCAGAACTGAACCCAGTCCCCGAGGTGTGGCCTCACACCGTACTGAGCTCCCCGCTTGTTCTTCCCGTTGTGCCTGAGGGACCTGCGCTGCTCCTGCTTTTCTACTGCAGCCCGCGTGGGATTGCGCCGTTAACGCCCCTCAGGGCCGTGAGGTGGAAAAACGACATCTCCCAGGACGCCTTGCGGTCAGACCGCATGCGCAGAATGATGCCCAGTGTGATGTCGCCCTGACTACAATTCCCAGGAACACACTGCGGAGCGTAGCGCGCGCGCAGATGATGGTACCGCCTCTTCCCCCGCGGCCTGCTCCCGAAAAGACGAC